ATCGCGATCATAATTGTACCGCGGATTTTTGGGTAAAACATAAATTTCGTTCAGCAGAAAAAATAATGCGGCACAGCTTTTAGATTTTCCAAATAATTTTACTGTTTTACGTTTGATCTAACAATTGTCCTCTGTCGAGGTGTCTCCATAATTTCAATAATTTTTGAAGTTCAAGTTTATACTTCTGTCGTGATTAGACCTTCAAAATCGAAAGTTACGAAATAAAGAATCAGATAATAAATAATGAAATAATAAAAATTTCAACGATTTTAAAATAGAAGCAAAGGGTTCAGTGTTGCGAGTCGATGACCCTTGCGTTAAGAAAATTGCTGTTCTATAATGGAGAATCAAGGAAGTAGAGTGAGTGGATGTGTGTATGTGTGTGTGTGCGTGAGAGAGAGAGAGAGAGAGGAAGAGAGAGAGAGAAGAGAGAGAGAAAGAGAGTGATAGAGGTGTAATGGATATTTTATGACGCACGATCGGGAAAACTATCCGCCCCCGTATCGTTAAGACAGTATTGTTCACCGCGTGTACTTTACCCGCGATATATCGACATAATAAGCAGGGTTGGATCACCTTTGCCACCTGAGCCCCTATTACCATTCTGAAAGGAATTGCCGCGGCCTGCCACTTCTTCTCCACCGTATACGCTATGCACGATGTCCCTCCGACCGGAAATAACCACCCCGTGAAATTTCGCGCGGCCGCCGGATCCGTAACGGGGGGAAACCGTACCCTTAGGCGGCGCAATTTTTACCGTAATCACTACCATTATCCTCTGTTCCAATTTCTAATTACGCCGACGCGAAAAACTGTTCTATCTTCGCGGACGCGATTGCCTTCAATTACATTTAACTCCCCGCCATCGACGTTCGCGATATTCTCGACAACACCGAGTTCAATGTTTTATAATAACATAAGATTATAAAAATGTTGATTCTTTATGAAAGAATAAAGGTCATAAATAAAGACTAGATTTTAATTAATCAATTATAATAAAGACTAGAGACAAATACAGAGAACAGCTTTACAAAAGAAAAGGACATAATAGAAAAATGTAAATTCTCCACAAAACAGAAGGAAATAGATTACTTACGAAAGAGAAGATGTGCATTGGAAAAATATAGAATTCATACAAATATCAACGATGGCTACTTAACAGGAACACGTGTATTTCAATAATACCAGCGGCTGCTCACGATAATAACTGATAAAGAAAAGGAAACGCCGTAAAAGAATCCGAAAGGGAATAATGTCGGCCGATTCATTTCCCTCCGTTTTTTCAAATCCAATCTCGACCTATCGCGCGAGAAGCCCGACCGACATATCGGGAAACAGGGAGCAGCCCAAAGGGGAAGGAAAATTCAGATTTGGCATTGTCTCGGATTTGGCACACATCGAGGGACGATCTCAGCGGAAGATCGTCCGAGCTAGGAATTCATTCTCTCTCGAGCGAGAATGCGCACGAAAATCCAGTCATCGCTCGGAAAACGAGCGAGTCATCGGCGGGGCGGTTTTCTGCTGGTGTGGCTGTCGGTGTGCTGATATATTTCGGTGTCGGTGCGTGGGTATAGGTGGGAAAGGATCCACGCAACACCGAAGGATCCGCCGGGACGAAGGAATCCCATATTCATAGAGTCTAAGGTGGGTCTGCTTGCTTCTTGAGCGGCTACGAACAATGACGACGCGTCTGAACGCATTGTTGCGTCGCGGATAGTGCAAGGCAACGTCCCGCGAGAACTGATAAAAGTAATGCACCAGAATGCGCCGACTGCACGCGCGGCTCCAACGTCCTCTGCCCTTCCTTCTCTCTCTCTCTCTCTCTCTCTCTCTCTCTCTCTCTCTCGCTCTCACTTNATGCAAGTTTCAGAGGTATCGACTGGACTGGCTTTATCTTGAGAAATACTTTTAATCGGTGAGATAATGATCTTTCTTGCCCCGAATTTAGAGAATGATCTAACGGAACAGTAAACCTGCCAAGCACCAACAACAATCGACGAGCGTTGCTTTGAAAGAACGACGATTATAATCGCGATCATAATTGTACCGCGGATTTTTGGGTAAAACATAAATTTCGTTCAGCAGAAAAAATAATGCGGCACAGCTTTTAGATTTTCCAAATAATTTTACTGTTTTACGTTTGATCTAACAATTGTCCTCTGTCGAGGTGTCTCCATAATTTCAATAATTTTTGAAGTTCAAGTTTATACTTCTGTCGTGATTAGACCTTCAAAATCGAAAGTTACGAAATAAAGAATCAGATAATAAATAATGAAATAATAAAAATTTCAACGATTTTAAAATAGAAGCAAAGGGTTCAGTGTTGCGAGTCGATGACCCTTGCGTTAAGAAAATTGCTGTTCTATAATGGAGAATCAAGGAAGTAGAGTGAGTGGATGTGTGTATGTGTGTGTGTGCGTGAGAGAGAGAGAGAGAGAGGAAGAGAGAGAGAGAAGAGAGAGAGAAAGAGAGTGATAGAGGTGTAATGGATATTTTATGACGCACGATCGGGAAAACTATCCGCCCCCGTATCGTTAAGACAGTATTGTTCACCGCGTGTACTTTACCCGCGATATATCGACATAATAAGCAGGGTTGGATCACCTTTGCCACCTGAGCCCCTATTACCATTCTGAAAGGAATTGCCGCGGCCTGCCACTTCTTCTCCACCGTATACGCTATGCACGATGTCCCTCCGACCGGAAATAACCACCCCGTGAAATTTCGCGCGGCCGCCGGATCCGTAACGGGGGGAAACCGTACCCTTAGGCGGCGCAATTTTTACCGTAATCACTACCATTATCCTCTGTTCCAATTTCTAATTACGCCGACGCGAAAAACTGTTCTATCTTCGCGGACGCGATTGCCTTCAATTACATTTAACTCCCCGCCATCGACGTTCGCGATATTCTCGACAACACCGAGTTCAATGTTTTATAATAACATAAGATTATAAAAATGTTGATTCTTTATGAAAGAATAAAGGTCATAAATAAAGACTAGATTTTAATTAATCAATTATAATAAAGACTAGAGACAAATACAGAGAACAGCTTTACAAAAGAAAAGGACATAATAGAAAAATGTAAATTCTCCACAAAACAGAAGGAAATAGATTACTTACGAAAGAGAAGATGTGCATTGGAAAAATATAGAATTCATACAAATATCAACGATGGCTACTTAACAGGAACACGTGTATTTCAATAATACCAGCGGCTGCTCACGATAATAACTGATAAAGAAAAGGAAACGCCGTAAAAGAATCCGAAAGGGAATAATGTCGGCCGATTCATTTCCCTCCGTTTTTTCAAATCCAATCTCGACCTATCGCGCGAGAAGCCCGACCGACATATCGGGAAACAGGGAGCAGCCCAAAGGGGAAGGAAAATTCAGATTTGGCATTGTCTCGGATTTGGCACACATCGAGGGACGATCTCAGCGGAAGATCGTCCGAGCTAGGAATTCATTCTCTCTCGAGCGAGAATGCGCACGAAAATCCAGTCATCGCTCGGAAAACGAGCGAGTCATCGGCGGGGCGGTTTTCTGCTGGTGTGGCTGTCGGTGTGCTGATATATTTCGGTGTCGGTGCGTGGGTATAGGTGGGAAAGGATCCACGCAACACCGAAGGATCCGCCGGGACGAAGGAATCCCATATTCATAGAGTCTAAGGTGGGTCTGCTTGCTTCTTGAGCGGCTACGAACAATGACGACGCGTCTGAACGCATTGTTGCGTCGCGGATAGTGCAAGGCAACGTCCCGCGAGAACTGATAAAAGTAATGCACCAGAATGCGCCGACTGCACGCGCGGCTCCAACGTCCTCTGCCCTTCCTTCTCTCTCTCTCTCTCTCTCTCTCTCTCTCTCTCTCTCTCGCTCTCACTTGCTCTCACTTGCTCTCTGGCCCCGCGATTCTTGGCCCATTGTTGCGTGCATAACGACGGTTGCCTGGCAGCAATACTTCATTGTGCCGAGTATTCGAGAGCAGCGCGAAGGAGATCCACGAGCATAGATCTTTGAACGGGGCTCTGAATGTAACCGGTGCGTGTTGTTGGTCTTTTAACTGGCTCGCCGGGAGTGCATGCCGCGCACGTAAACCAGTGGGAATCATTTGCTTCTTCCTTTTTGCCCGCGCCTTTTTTTCGGAGCAACATAATGCCCGCGATTCGATGCAGTTTCCATCGATCGCCGATGATTCCGCTTGCACGCTGGCTGCGATGAATTAGGCGGCCCGTGTTTTGGCGGACTATCGATTAGAATTGCTCTGGAATTGACAGGGAAACCTCCCACGCATCGGAAACATTGTCCAATCTGTGCTACGTTCAGCGAGCCTCAAAAACTATTGATCTAAATTAATATCGTTTTAACAAATTGTCTTATGCCGGACCCTGAGGATTCCTGCTAAGAAGCTCGTAGCGTTGTTCATTATGATCGTTAATATTGAGAGAGCGGCATAAAAATAAAGAGGACGTTCAAAAGAGATACATTGGTATTATTCCATTTTAATCGCCTGCTTCCCATAAAAGCAATAAAAACGAGTGCCGCGAAAGAAGACTTTTCCTTATAAAACTTCCCCATGATTTTTCTCACAAATTACCGTGATTAGAAGTCCTTTGCGTCTACGTTTTAAAGTCGACGTAGCTTGCGAGATTTCAGCAAAAATGATTGTTTGACATTTTTAATAGCGGCTGAATATGTAACAAAGAACAGACGTTTGCTTCGATTTAAAAGAAATTAATAATATTCGTACACAGAGAAGGTTGTGCACGCGTGTATTACACAGGAAGGCTAGCACGATGGATGGCATCGAGGATGTTCGCAACAGGATCCGGGAATGCAGAAAATTAATTTCGCAAAGTGAACGGGGATAGCGCGGTTGATTCGGCGATGGGATTTTAAAATGAATATCCTCGGGTCGGGTAACAAGAACGGCCGATTCATCGGCGTGGAAAAGTCAAGACACGCGGGGTCAGCTAATTAGTTTTTAATCGTTCGACTCACCCTCGGAATGACGACTGAACGCCCGCTGCAGCTCCTCCTCTTCCTCCTCCTCCTCCTCCTCGTCCTCTGTAACGGAAAAATTATTCGCATCGAGACCGGCGAACTTTTCAGTCGGGCGGTGGAAGAGCGGGAGGGAAAAAGAAAAAAAAAGAAAAAAGAAAACGAAAAAAGGAGGGGAAAGAGAACGAAAAAGAGAAACAGGAACGAGTGCGCGCGAGTGCGCGCTCTCCCGGAGCAGATTTACGCAAACATTTGATAACGGTGGAAAGTATTTAGTAACACTCACGCTTAATTCCCGTTGTCCCATTATCCTGCTCGGTTACCTCCAGGACATTCTGCTCGTTCCCGTCCTCCCACTCCTCGTCTCCTGCGGAGAGAGAGACAAGCGGCCATTAATTCCGTCTCATTTGCATATCACCGGCCAAGAATGAAATCTGTATTTGCGGCGGAAAAAAACAACAGGCAAAAAACAAGCCCGCTCTCTACCCGACACCGCGGCTAACATGAATATGGATTTCGGGTAACGGCGACCAGACGATTAATAATAAGCTCTTAGGGCAGTGACGAGACCGAGGCACCCGCGAATTTACGTAAAAAGTATCGACGCGAGTCGCCTCGATACTCTCTCTCTCTCTCTCCGATATAATCCTATTAATTCGCGTCCGTTTCTTCGACGGATCGCCGTTGTTTTATCGCGCGGTCTTCCTTTTTCCGCAATTAGATACTCTCGACTCGCTGTCCTGATCGAGCTTCTGCATTATGTATCGGATTACTTTCTATAAAACAACTTTGTCGTGAAACAATGTTCTAAACATTTTTTGAAAATAAAACTGACATTAGCAGAGCGCTTTTATGAAGACAAACTCCATCAATATACAGCGAGCAACGAGAGTATTCGGACAGCTTTTAAAACGCAACAGTTTTTTGAAAGTTCGACGAAATAACTATTTTTCGGTGTCAGGCTAACCAGTATACTGGACAACTGGGCCGGGGAGAAATAGATTTTTGAAACAGCAAATAGACTATAAATATTCTCGCGTAATACAGAATTCGGCGACTTTTTTTGAAACAGTAATTACATATGGATATCGCGAAGTTGAATACATTTGAAATGCTATTCATTTCCACACGTAACTATTATTTCGAAAACAGTTCATGTGCCATAATCTGTATCGCGAAAAAATTGCAATAAAATACACGAGTCCGAGTTAACGTCCGAAACAAGGCTCCAACAATAAACTATTCGAATGCCCCGAGATCTGGCAGATAAAACTTCGAAAATCGACTCGTTGCTTGTCACACGTGCTCCGCATTCCCTGCTCGCGGCAGTAGAATCAGCCTGCAATGATCAGACGCCCCGAAAGAAGGAATTCAATACCGAACAGTAAATTCGCGCACTAAATTCTGCGGCCTTCGACCGATTGATTTGTAATACTCCGAAACGATGTCGCTCGTAAAAGATTATCCAGCGGAGCGTGTAACGACATCGGCCAGAATATCGGCGTCGAAAAAAGACGGGGCCGGTCAGTCCGCGAATGGGTTAATCATTCGACCAGGTTGACGAACGATCTCGTTTAGGTAAAAGCTGAGGCCGGTCGGGTTTTACAAAAAAATCCGCATTCGACACCTTCGGAAATACTGGCAATCGGCCGGAGTGGCAAGTTGTTCGACCGCGGGGGTGGATCGAGAGAGACAACAATCCGGAAGGGGCGGAGAGGATCGAAGAGCGCTAGACAGAAAGAGAGAAATGGAGAGAGGGAGAGAGATAGATAGGGAGATACAGAGGGAGAGAGAGAGAAAGAGAGACTAGGGAGCAGTGGAGGCGGGTGAATGGAAAATAACAAACGACCTGTTGGCCACGTGGACAGGGGTGTAATTTTTTAAGTTTAATTTTGTGGTCCCGCGTGACAAACGGATGGCTCTGGTATACGGTAGCCACGTCACTGCGCTCCGCGGGTATATTTCATTCCGAAAACACGGCTCGTCGTTTCGCGTTTGATGATATACAACAACGAACGGTCCTTCCTCGGACCGGCTCCATATACATTACGATCGACCCTTTTAGTCAGCGATTCCAAAACGTCCGGCATGTACATTGTCATGGCGCACCTTGGGATGATTAAAAGCTTGGCCTAACCGGAGGAGAATATCTTCCACCGAGCGAGTTTCTGCACGATGCTTTCTTAGCATTGCGTGAGATTGTTCAATCGCGAATGCAGCTCGAGAGTGAACGTAATAAGTGTGAAAGTATAATCAAATGTGGGATACACCTGTCGATGCTACTGGAATGCGTAAAAAATCGTCTGCATCGATTGTACAAAATAAGAGTCGAATAAATATATGCACTTCTTCTTCCAGCCACATCAGTAAATACAGAACATGTAACGAGATTCTTACATTGTCGCGATGTCTTCGCCGTTTTGTATTCCGCCTTTCCACCGTAATCGCATAAAAACCACGGCATAGCGACGACGAATGAACGAGTGTAGCAGAACGCATAAGGAGCGTAAAAATTCCGTTTCAGCTTCAAAATTATTATGATCGAATTTCCGGCGCTCGCGAACACGTCTTCCAAGTTTAAAGTCCAGTTCCACGAAAGAAGTACTCGGTGAATGGTCAGCTCAGGTAGAACGGAGGAGAAACGCCGGATAAGACACGAAACAGCATCGCGTTTTCATGGGGATGGTAATCGCGAAAGTTTGATGAGGCTCCCGGAGAAAATTCCTGCGACCATCGACTTTATTGGAAAGCCTCGGGAGAGCCAGCTGAACGTCCTCCCATAGACGGAAGGAGCATTAGCCCGGTGACGAGAAACAACGGGCGCATCGGAGCAAGGGAATGGAAGCCGGTCTTAAATATTCCAGAAGACATCAGCCAAGGCACCGCTGGCAACCACCCTTCGATTGAACCTTCGCACCCTCCGCCCTGTCAGCTGTCAAGGCTTCTGTCGGGACGGCGCGTTTCGCGTCTCGCTGCCACGCCGGCGATATCAACGGTTAATGGTTCATCCATCATCGAGAGGACTCCTGCAGAGCCGAGGAGTTTTCTCCGTCGGTTGCTGCTACTTGTCCCGCTAATTGCCGCCGATTCCACCCCTGCGAACCGGATGTCTCGCGCCATCGACGCACTCTTTCCTTGACACAACTTCGCTGCCTCGACGATATTTATTCCGGTATCCGCCGCGTGGATTTCGCGTTTGCCGCTGGGATTTTCGGTCAAAAAATATCGAAACGATTCCGTGACACGCGTCGAAGTATTCGTAACGCGGCAAATTTTTCTACGAATTTTTACAATCAAGCTAAAAACCGACAGATCCTAATTTTCTCCGACAACTCCTGATTGAACTATCGCAAGCGAAGGGTGAACATTCGGCATAAAGTGTTTTCTCAGCCGGCCGACGAGTACGACTAGGAAATGTTACGAGTGTACCTTGGTTCTAGGACAGCTCGGGACAGCCGCGTCCTTGAAATCCCCGTGCCGAATGAATAATCGCATGAGGAATCAGCGGATCGCGACAGCCGCCCCCGCGTCCATTGTTTCCGCCGTTTCCCCCCGCGCCAGAATTAAGATCCACGACGGATCGAGATGCAAAATCCAATCTCCCCGGGCGTGGGGTTTCCGGCCAGCCCCGTGGAATACCGAGTGGCTGGTTCGTATGCTTGCCGCGGCACCCCGGGACTCGATCTATCGTAAATACTGTAAACAATTCGGCGGCGAGGCCGCAGAATAGCCCGGTCGGACAATAATCGTAAAGGTAAGGGGATTGGCTATCATCTCGGTCGGGCCCTGGTCCGCTTGTGTAGCTTTATGCGGCCGTGCACCTGTGTTTATGTACGATATGAGCGTAAGAAGGCACGTAATACGGTCTCTCCTGTCTGGTCTAGGCGCAGCGGTGTTCCGGCTCCCGACTCGGCGGCCGGGACAAAGACGGCGATGTAAGCTCTCGAAAATACAGCTCGGGCAATCTCGGGGCCCTCCCATCCCCGTCCGGTGGTACCCGGGCAACGTTAAACGGATGTATTATTATGACCCACGTGCACCCTCGTCCCGAGGATAACTGCATATTGCGGCTTAACCCCGTACGTTGTACTTTCGATAACGCTTACAGATACATTCGTAACGGCGCGTGACGTAGGTGGACTGTAAAAGACCGGCGGCCAAACAACCCGCTGGAAAATGTCTTCTTCCGGTTACGAGCCAGGAAAATTCCAGAGTAGCGGCGGAGGCTCCATGGCCCGTTCCGTTTGTTCCTTTCTAATTTAGGATAGTTCCCGGCGCGCGGCGGGACGAATATATACCGGTAGGAGATTCGAGGCTCTTTCGCGGAAACTCTTTGAAATCCGTGATCTTTGAACGCCCGACTGATGGAATGCGGTTAAGACGGAAGAAACGTATTGCTATAAGCCAATCTATATGCGCCGGGACGATAACTGCATATTGAGGCTAAGCCTCGCCCGCCGTAGACCATGCTGGATCTCTCTCGCGATGAAACGCCTTCCCATCCTCCCATCGGCGGCTTTCGGCGATGTCGATTCGGCGGGGAATAATTTAATCCACGTGAAACCAACAATCGCACTTCTAGATACTTGTCTCGACGAAACGTCCTGACACGGAGGGGATAACGAAGACATAAGCGATTAAGGACGCGGAGGAATAGAAAGGGTGCGCGCGGGTCTCTCGAAGCGGGTTGATCCGGCCCATAAGCAGCCCCGCGGTCGGTGTCCGGCCGCGGCGGGGTCAACTCGTTACGATGCCTGGAAGATACGAGGGGGGGAAACGGCGACTGCTCCCGATTACCGGTTACGATAATCTCGCTAACGATATCTCGGGGGGAATCGGCAGGTCGCGGGAGGCCCGGAGACGTCGATCCCGGAGGCTGGTGGAGCGGTTAGGAAGCCTGGCTGGCAGGGTTTCGAGTCATTAATCGATACGCCCGTGAATAAAGGAGCGCCCTGCGGGTTATCCGGACCGACTGCTATCTCTGCTCCCCGGTTGCAGCCGCCGCCGCCGTACGTCTTGGACTCGTGACAGGCAGCCAGACAGCCAGAGAGAGCCGGGCCGAGCGAGAGAGCAGCCATTGGGAAGGGCTGCTCTGGCTGCTGCGGTGGATGGCTGCTAGGCTGGCTGCTTCTCTGCCTCTCTGCTTGCTTGCTACTGCTCTGCTGCTCTGCTGCCGTTGCCGCTACTGCTGGGTGGCTGCTACAAGGGAAGTCGAGCTGATTCCCGAGGGAACCGAACCCCGCAGCCCCACACGCCCGCACCCCGCGCCCGGCCAGCACTGACGCGGGCTCAGACTCCCGCGGGACCCGGAGCATCCGCCGACGAATACCCTCTGGCTCCGACACGGTACCTGGAGCACACCCGGGA